TCCTCCTGTCCTTTACCTGCGGGTTACCCCTACCCCCCTCCCCCCACAAACACACATACAGAGTAGTTAATACAGAGTAGTTAACAAATGTATTAGGCAGTGATGTGGTGGAGGCAGACTCCATACTCTTATCATGTAGATATGATAGAGCCCAGTAGGCTCAGGAATCTGTACACCAGTTGAGAGGCGGGACCAAAGAGCCAGAGCTCAACCCCCCCGCAAGAACAACTAGGTGAGTGCCGTCACCATTGTAACAACACGCGCGTCTAGCCTACGCTTAAAACACCCGCGTCTAGTCTACGCTTGAAACACCCGAGCCATCCCAGAGCCATTGTGCTCCCCGGATACCTGGACCATAATATGTCTCTCAGGTGGGCCGTTCTTGCAGATAACACTATTGGCTCGGGTTGAGGAGGTCCGCCTTGCTTCACAAGTCCCGAGGCACTATACATGACCCATACGAGTTTGGGAAGTGTAACAATAGTCCTTGTGTTGCTGGAACATAAGGGTGTCGTCGCCTTAACATGTACACCCTTAAAGGGTACATTAGTGAGAGACACTCTCACAGTTCCGCCCACAAAACTCACCACCTCATCTAATCTCTTTCTTTCAATTTTCCACTAAACTTAAAAATATTTGATTCAGCTCGATTGCACTTCCATTTTGTTCCTGTGGCTCTCATTTGTGGCCCAAGTGTGTGGCCCTCACGTGTGTGTGGCCCTCACGTGTGGTCGTCGTGTGTGGCCCTCACGTGTGGTCGTCGTGTGTGGCCCTCACGTGTGGTCGTCGTGTGTGGCCCTCATGTGTGTGGCCCTCACGTGTGGTCGTCGTGTGTGGCCCTCGTGTGTGTGGCCCTCACGTGTGGCCCTCATGTGTGGCCGTGCCAGGGTAAGGGGGGGTGAGTGTGGCACTGTTCACCGCCACACTCACCTTCCCAGACCAACACTTCAACACAAGCGACACAAACACACAAGAACCAGGAAACCATAAAAGTATTAAATCCTTGTTTGTAAAAAGTGTGCATTAGGGATTAATACAAGCTGAGGGGGGGGGGTATGTATGATTATACCGTGTAGCAACGCAGGCGGGAGGGTGTATGTCATACACTCTCACGTGTATAAAAACATATAAGAATGTATGTAGAGAGCCGGTCGGCCGAGCGGACAGCACGCGGGACTTGTGATCCTGTGGTCCTGGGTTCGATCCCAGGCGCCGGCGAGAAACAATGGGCAGAGTTTCTTTCACCCTATGCCCCCTGTTACCTAGCAGTAAAATAGGTACCTGGGTGTTAGTCAGCTGTCACGAGCTGCTTCCTGGGGGTGGAGGCCTGGTCGAGGACCGGGCCGCGGGGACACTAAAAAGCCCCGAAATCATCTCAAGATAACCTCAAGAAGGTAGACTTATACATTCTTAATTACTGTATGAAATGAAAATGTTTTTCTAAACTGGGATTCCTAGAGGCCGTAAATTACCAGTCACACATGTGACCACTTTCTACCTTCCAGTTACTGTTAATTGTATGTCCTTGGGGCGGGGGTCGACGCCCCCTGGCACCAACACTAGCAAGGGAGGAGGGGGGGAGGTCGAGGAGGTATAGCCATTCATCCCAACAACGAGACTGTGAAGATCACCCTTAAAAAGCGGTGCGGAATCGAACCCTCGGCTGCATATTTTGATCGTCCAGTCAGCCTACCCGGAAAAATTTAATGAACCCAACATACAACTGGGAAGTATTTTGTGAGGCGCAGGGGGGGGGGGGGGGGAGTGGGGGGGGGGTTGGAACCATCTTGTAAACCAGGGGGGGGGAAGATGGGGGTTCAACCACTGGTATAATTAAGAATGACCAGATATGTCTCGAATGACCAGATATATCTCGGAGATTATTATGTAGACATGCACATGAGGGACGTAACATGACATGCACATGTGTATGTGTGTGTGTGTGTGTGTGTGTGTGTGTGTGTGTGTGTGTGTGTGTGTGTGTGTGTGTGTGTGTGTGTGTGTGTGTGTGTGTGTGTACTCACATAATGGGGGAAGCTATGGAATAATTCTTGCTCCTTGTTTACATATCTTACTATATAATATTGGTGATAACCCTATGGTGAGAGGCCTTCTGAGGGCGTCCAGTCAGTCTACTGTGGTCCAGTCAATCTATTTTGTCCAGTTAGTGTTGTGTGTTTGTCCATGTCATCTGCTGTATATAAGAGCCTTGAAGTGACTGACCGGTGAGCAGAGTGGAGGATATGAGAGCCTTCTGAGTGGTGACTGTTGATTGGTAAGTTGGTGACACTGTGAGACACCAGGGTGATCAAGTTGCAGCACACACACCACACACACACACACACACACACACACACACACACACACACACACACACACACACACACACACACACACACACACACACACACACACACACTTCCAGTGGGACAGGTACAGCCCCTGTGACTGTTCCCTGAGGTACAGTCCTCCTGTGACTGTTCCGTGAGGTACAGTCCTCCTGTGACTGTTCCGTGAGGTACAGTCTTCCTGTGACTGTTCCCTGAGGTACAGTCCTCCTGTGACTGTTCCGTGAGGTACAGTCTTCCTGTGACTGTTCCCTGAGGTACAGTCCTCCTGTGACTGTTCCCTGAGGTACAGTCCTCCTGTGACTGTTCCGTGAGGTACAGTCCTCCTGTGACTGTTCCGTGAGGTACAGTCTTCCTGTGACTGTTCCCTGAGGTACAGTCCTCCTGTGACTGTTCCGTGAGGTACAGTCCTCCTGTGACTGTTCCGTGAGGTACAGTCCTCCTGTGACTGTTCCCTGAGGTACAGTCCTCCTGTGACTGTTCCCTGAGGTACAGTCTTCCTGTGACTGTTCCCTGAGGTACAGTCCTCCTGTGACTGTTCCGTGAGGTACAGTCCTCCTGTGACTGTTCCGTGAGGTACAGTCTTCCTGTGACTGTTCCCTGAGGTACAGTCCTCCTGTGACTGTTCCCTGAGGTACAGTCTTCCTGTGACTGTTCCCTGAGGTACAGTCCTCCTGTGACTGTTCCGTGAGGTACAGTCTTCCTGTGACTGTTCCCTGAGGTACAGTCTTCCTGTGACTGTTCCGTGAGGTACAGTCTTCCTGTGACTGTTCCCTGAGGTACAGTCTTCCTGTGACTGTTCCCTGAGGTACAGTCCTCCTATGACTGTTCCGTGAGGTACAGTCCTCCTGTGACTGTTCCCTGAGGTACAGTCTTCCTGTGACTGTTCCCTGAGGTACAGTCCTCCTGTGACTGTTCCGTGAGGTACAGTCTTCCTGTGACTGTTCCCTGAGGTGCAGTCTTCCTGTGACTGTTCCCTGAGGTAGGGCTGGTGGACCTCTCTGGAGCTACGAAAGATAAGAACCGTCATTGATATTCTTAGAGGTGGCGACAGGGTCCTCGTCACCAACAATGGCTGCATCCTTCCTCTATAAACTCTGCAGACTGGCCATCCGTCACCCGTCACACCCACCCGTCACTCGTCACACCCGTCACACTCGCTTCTGCCCACCCGTCACACCCGGTCCTGCTCACCCGTCACCCGTCACACTCGGTCCTATACCAAATAATGTTTTTTATTCACCTCTTTCGCTTTGCTTGCCGACGGCTTCAACCGAATCAGGCGCGCACCGGACGTTCATCTTGTGTTGATGTTGACAGCTGTTTGTGTGTACTCACCTAATTGTGCTTGCGGGGGTTGAGCTCTGGCTCTTTCCATGGTCCCGCCTCTCAACCGTCAATCAACAGGTGTACAGATTCCTGAGCCTACTGGGCTCTATCATATCTACATTTGAAACTGTGTATGGAGTCAGCCTCCACCACATAACTTCCTAGTGCATTCCATTTATTAACTACTCTGACACTGAAAAAATTCTTTCTAACGTCTCTGTGGCTCATCTGTTTTATGTGTGTGTGTGTGTGTGTGTGTGTGTGTGTGTGTGTGTGTGTGTGTGTGTGTGTGTGTGTGTGTGTGTGTGTGTGTGTGTGTGTGTGTGTGTACTCACCTATTTGTAAATTTGTCAAAAGTTGTGAGGCAGGTTTGACCGTCCGGGAATTGGAGAGAGAGAGAGAGAGAGACAGAGACACAACACACTACACCTTGGTCCCCCCCCACCCCAGACCAAAGTCTCCTCCTCTGGGCGTCCAGGAAATAGTTGTTTCATTTTGGAAAAGCATTGCAGCCCTCCCCCCACCCCCTCCCCCCTCCCCCTCCCCCCTCCCCCCCTTCCACTACCCTCCCCCCCCCCTTCCACTACCCATTCCCCTAAGAATGTTTTAAAATTCATTGCACGTTTGGTTCTTGCAACTTATTATGCCATGCAATAAATAGCCTCACACACACACACTCTTCTGTGCTGGAAGTGACTCTCTCTCTCTCTCTCTCTCTCTCTCTCTCTCTCTCTCTCTCTCTCTCTCTCTCTCTCTCTCTCTCTCTCTCTCTCTCTCTCTCTCTCTCTCTCTCTCTCTCTCTCTCTCTCTCTCTCTCTCTCTCTCTCTCTCTCTCTCTCTCTCTCTCTCTCTCTCTCTCTCTCTCTCTCTCTCTCTCTCTCTCTCTCTCTCTCTCTCTCTCCAATTCCCGGACGGTCAAACCTGCCTTACAACTTTTCACAAATTTAAATCATTATAAAATTAGTTTTAGCCTTATACTTGGCAAAAGTTTCAGGCGAGAATCTTGCATCAAAGCAGATCTACTTTGGGGGAGGAATTAATTAAAAGTTTGACGTTTATTCTGCTCAAGATGATCATATTCCTTGAGACACGAGAGGCCATGGGGCTCCTTGCTTGGCTTCGTGCAGGTCTACGGCCTATGTTGGTGGGCCTACCCCCCCAGGATGTGTCGAAGCTGGCCCCCAGGATGTGTCGAAGTTGGCCCCCAGGATGTGTCGAAGCTGGCCCCCAGGATGTGTCGAAGCTGGCCCCCAGGATGCGTCAAAGCTGGCCCCCCGGATGTGTCGAAGCTAGGCCCCAGGATGCGTCAAAGCTGGCCCCAGGATGTGTCGAAGCTGGCCCCCAGGATGTGTCGAAGCTGGGCCCCAGGATGCGTCGAAGCTGGCCCCAGGATGTGTCGAAGCTGGCCCCCAGGATGTGTCGAAGCTGGGCCCCAGGATGCGTCAAAGCTGGCCCCAGGATGCGTCGAAGCTGCCCCCAGGATGCGTCGAAGCTGGTCCCCAGGATGCGTCAAAGCTGGCCCCAGGATGTGTCGAAGCTGGGCCCCAGGATGCGTCGAAGCTGGCCCCAGGATGTGTCGAAGCTGGCCCCCAGGATGCGTCGAAGCTGGCCCCAGAATCCGTCGAAGCTAGCCCCCAGGATGCGGCAAAGCTGGGCCCCAGGATGTGCCCGCCCTTCTCGTCCTCTCCGCCGTGCTCACGTTGTCAAATATTGACCTCAGACTTTTTACATTTTCTTTTGTTTTCATAGATTTTTTTCCTTGTTTTCTTTCCATTTCCCGCCCGATTGTGGCGGGACAAAAATGGCGCCATTACGGAATGAGTGACACGAGCAGCGGCCGTGTCCAACCTCCTCCAATTTTATCTTAAAGTCAAATGTTCAACAAAGAGGGGCGGGGAAGGAGGGGGCGAGGGGGTAACTGGAGGTTGGGGGGGGCGTGAGGGGGCTGACGCCCCCCTTCAGGAAGGACGGGCAAGCTAACAGCCTTCACAGAACTCCTATGCCCCCCTGCCCAGCCTACACAGAACCCACCTATGCCCCCTGCCCAGCCTACCGAACCCACCTATGCCCCCTGCCCAGCCTACACAGAACCCACCTATGCCCCCTGCACAGCCTACACAGAACCCACCTATGCCCCCCTGCACAGCCTACACAGAACCCACCTATGCCCCCTGCACAGCCTACACAGAACCCACCTATGCCCCCCTGCACAGCCTACACAGAACCCACCTATACCCCCCTGCCCAGCCTACACAGAACCCACCTATGCCCCCCTGCACAGCCTACACAGAACCCACCTATGCCCCCCTGCACAGCCTACACAGAACCTACCTATACCCCCCTGCCCAGCCTACACAGAACCAACTGCTCAGCCTACACAGAACCCACCTATACCCCCCTGCCCAGCCTACACAGAACCCACCTATGCCCCTGCCCAGCCTACACAGAACCCACCTATGCCCACTGCCCAGCCTACACAGAACCCACCTATGCCCCCCTGCCCAGCCTACACAGAACCCACCTATGCCCCCCTGCCCAGCCTACACAGAACCCACCTATACCCCCCTGCCCAGCCTACACAGAACCCACCTATGCTCCCCTGCCCAGCCTACACAAAACCCACCTATACCCCCCTGCCCAGCCTACACAGAACCCACCTATGCCCACTGCCCAGCCTACACAGAACCCACCTATGCCCCCTGCCCAGCCTACACAGAACCCACCTATGCCCCCTGCCCAGCCTACACAGAACCCACCTATGCCCACTGCCCAGCCTACACAGAACCCCTATGCCCCCTGCCCAGCCTACACAGAACCCACCTATGCTCCCCTGCCCAGCCTGCACAGAACCCCTATGCCCTCTGCCCAGACCACTAATGCCCCCTGGCTAGTGTACGGGACTGGACCTCACTGCTTCACACAAGTCCCCCCAACAATTGGGTAGATATAGATTTGTGAGCGATAGGGGACTATTTTTAGTGTAGGGTTGTCGACAAGTAGTATGCGTTGGCTGCCATTATGGAGACCAAACTATAGTTCCAAGAATACATTTGGTAACGTATGCGAGGGTTAAATCGGGAATTTGGTTATTATGGATCAGGAGACTTGTTGTGGCGCGCTAATTCTTTCGTTATTGGAGAGCTTGCTACCCCCCCCCCCCACGCGGCATTAGGGATATAGACTCCTCCTTGATGTAGATTACATGTGTCTTGACACATGTGTAGCTGTGTCCCTGGAGGACAAGAACATGTATATGGTTACCTGTGTAGGAGGAGGTGGTGCTACTACTGGGGGGTAGGAAGTGAACTTATATCGCCTCACATATCTGCCTCTCACTCTTCTCTCACAACCGGATTTTCCTCTCACTCACAACCGGATTTTCCTCTCACTCACAACCGGATTTCCCTCTCATTAACTTGGTCTACTTCCTTCTCCGTCTCCTCCTGCTCCCTTCTGGTCCCAGTTTCCCCCTCCTCATTATCTTCCTATTCTCTATCCTTCCCACATTTTCCCCCTTCCATCCCGCCCCACCTTCCCCCCCCCCCTCCCTCTTCCTTCCTCTAGTATCCTTCTATTTCATGCCCAAACACCTCCCCTTCCCCCTCTACCAAGCCTCCCTCACCCCTCACCCCCCCCTTTCCCCCTCACCCCTCTCTACCAAGCCTCCCTCACCCCTCACCCCCCCTTTCCCCTCACCCCTCACCCCCCCCCCCCCCTCCCAACCCCAAAGCCCGAGTAATTTGCATGAATATATAAAGTAGGTTCCCCCGATCCTCAAACTCTAATTAAGTTTAATCAGTCGAGGTCTTTCACTTATGTAAATTGCCTCAGTACACAACACAATGACCCCCTCGGCCGAACTTTACGCAATATTACGCCAAACGAAAATGAGTTTCCGGGAAAATATTGTTACGTGAATATGACTCTTTATCAGAAGATGTGTCGGCAGAGCATGACCATCTTGGCTGTTGATGGTGACACGCATGGATGATGATACTGGTGGAAAGATTAGAAGATGACAGGGATAGGGGTGATGATGGTGGATAAGGAAGGGGGTCCAGGAGGATAAGGATGGGGTCCAGGAGGATAAGAAAAGGGTCCAGGAGGATAAGGATGGGGTCCAGGAGGATAAGAAAAGGGTCCAGGAGGATAAGGATGGGGTCCAGGAGGATAAGAAAAGGGTCCAGGAGGATAAGAAAAGGTTCCAGGAAGATAAGAAAAGGTTCCAGGAGGATAAGAAAAGGTTGTAGGAGGATAAGAAAAGGTTCCAGGAGGATAAGAAAAGGTTCCAGGAGGATAAGGATGGGGTCCAGGAGGATAAGGAAAGGGTCTAGGATAAGGAAAGGTTCCAGGAGGATAAGGAAAGGGTCCAGGAGGACAAGAAAAGAGTCCAGCAATAGGCTTAACCTTAAAGACAGCACTAGAGTGGTGGGAAGAAATCTTGCAAGGTGTGGGCGAGGAGGAGGAGGAGGTGGTGGCGGTGGTTTAGTGGAAGAGATGCGGGCGTTTGGTCACTTAGGGCGCAACTGGTGGCGCCATTAACCTTCCTCACAAGGGAGTGAGGGGGGCGGAGACGGCTGGCGTCAGAGCACACACACACCAAAGGTAGTCGAGTGTGGGAGATGGGAACGTCTGGGAGACACAGGTGAGAGATACGGGAGGATAAGACACCTGTATGGGAGGATGGGGCACAAGTATCCCTGCAGGTAGACTGTATGTGTGTGTGTGTGTGTGCGTAATTACCTAAGTGTAGTTACAGGATGAGAGCTACGCTCGTGGTGTCCCGTCTTCCCAGCACTCTTTGTCATATAAAAAGTGGGTTAAAAAGTGTCTTGAAGTGGGTTAAGACCCACTTCAAGACTCCGCTCCAATATAGAAGCATCAAGAAATATGGGCCAATAGGCCCTCTGCAATTACTTCCATTCTTACCTTCAATACCCATTGTTTCGTGTTCTAAGTTTGTTTTCACCTCATCCAAAACTGTTGTAACATATCACCTCACCCAAATGCAGGTATAAAAAATCGAAGATGTTTAAGCTCTATTCAGTTATAAGTTGTGTGTGTGTAAACTAAAATCTTTGAAAATGTAATAAGTTTTACGAAACGCGCTCAAGTGTCGCGTCAGACTAGAAATAAAAATGAATTTTGGAGAATTGATTTTTCAATTACCATCAACAGTGAAAAGAAACATAAGAAAGATCGAGAAAATTCGTGTTAGAATTATTAATCTTACTTTTTCGGTCATATTTAATAATATATGTCTACAGGAAAGACTGCTACCAAAATATACTAATATATATATATATATATATATATATATATATATATATATATATATATATATATATATATATATATATATATATATATATATATATATATATAAATACATATTTAGATTATATATATGTTGTACTTAATAGACCAAGTTGCCCACGAAGCCGAATTTTCCTTAAATATAATATTTGTATAAAAAGATTTATGGAACAATACAGCTTTCCATTACATATGATTTCAAATTTCTTTACTTGCATTCAAAACTAACATAGAAATTTTATCAAACCTATCCTAGCCTAACACACTAAGTCAGTAATTCATGTTCTTAATATAATTGCTTAGTATTTGCTAGAAATGAACCAATCTGGAAATAAATATTTGAAAATAACGATAATCATTCAGCCTGTTAGGCAAATGGGACCTTGCATACTAGGCCAAGTAGCGCGGTTCTGGCTATTAGGTACGACACATATATACAAATATTCTATGTTTCCGAAGCTGTCCCGCACTTGAGACGCTGAAATTCTAATCCCACACAATACTTTTACCATTCTAATTTACCCTGACGCCTTTCCCTAAATAAGTATACAAATATATAAAGTAGATATACACACGTAAGAGATGAAAATATATACGTAGAACCAGACCACACACTAGAAGGTGAAGGGACGACGACGTTTCGGTCCAGGACGGACTGAAACGTCGTCGTCCCTTCACCTTCTAGTGTGTGGTCTGGCCAACATACTTTAGCCACGTTATTGTGACTCATCGCCTGTATATACGTAGGATAGAGATAAAGCCATGGCAGTAACAGATAAGAGAGACACCACCATTGGTTTATCTCTCTCTCTCTCTCTCTCCGGGCCCTGTAAAATGGGTTCCCATTCGTCTCGTTTCCCAATTACATTAACAGGAGCCAATTTCACCGTGATAGCTTTCACTGTCCTTAATCGGCAGCATTACTCGGTTGATTTACACCAGAGGATTGGCAGAAAAGGGCGGGGGAGAGAGGGAGAAGGTGAGGGAGAGAGGGAGAGGGAGAGAGGGAGGGAGAGAGAGAGAGAATTCTAGCAGCAATATCAGAGGGTGGGTGGAGGCTTACACCATAAGCATTATACATTTTATCTTGCAACAATATGGTTGTATTGTGGCCCTACAGTAATACAGTAGTACTGTATAGTAATACAAGAGCACATCATTGGAAACAAGAAACACAGACGAGTCACAAGAATGTGAGAGAGAGAGAGAACTTTTCCATTCTCAGAGTGGTAAATAGGTGGAACGGACCAGATGAGGAAATTATCACTTCGAGACATTGTTTTAAATGCGTATATGATAAGAACGGGAAAATGAGTCACAGCATTGAA